AGAAATCTCTTCTTATATCCAAAATTTAAGAAAGTTGTGCGTGGAGGGTTGTGATAATTTGAAATATCTATTGACATCCTCCATGGTTAAGACTTTTGAGCAATTGAATTGGCTTGAGATTCAAGATTGTAATATGATGGAAGAGGTAATACTTGCAGAAGAATCAATGGATGAGGAAAAGATGGGCAAGATTTTCTTCCCTAACCTAGAGTTTCTACTACTCCAAGACCCTCCAAAACTCACAAGATTTTGTTATGGAAATTACTTGGAATTACCATGCCTTTGGAAACTTAAGATAACCAAGTGCCCTATGCTGAAGACTTTCATCTCTAGCTTTATTTTTGGAGATATGATAGCCAATTCTGAAGTCAAAAACACTTGTACACTTTCCCTCTTTGATGCAAAGGTGATTTCTCTTGTTTTTTTCTCCCTTTATTTTTTACTATTTAATGTCTTAGAATGCTATTATTATTTTCTAGTCCTCATAAACTTTTACATTAAAAAAATTTGATTCCAATATTTTTTATTCCATTACATCTATGATTATGTTTAATTTTAATTGAATTGTGTAAATCTCTAGGTGGCATTCCCCAAATTAGAGCGTTTGGTAATTGAACATGTGAAGAGCTTGAATAAGATATGGAATGACCAACTCAAAGTAGATTCTTTTTGCCGACTAACTTTGGTGAGTGTGGTTTCATGTGGAAAGTTAATGAATATTTTCCCGTTTAGTATGGTGGAAAGGTTTCAAAGACTAGACAAGCTCCAAATATGGAACTGTGATTCACTTGAAGAGATACTTGAGTCTCAAGAACCTAGTGTTAGCCAATCGCAAGCTCAAAAGGGTACTCCACTACCTTTGTTGGAAACCATCACATGCTTGGAGGATGATGTGAAGGATGGGATTGTCTTTAGCAAACTCAAGTATTTGCAACTTTGTGGTCTGCCTAGACTTTCAAGCTTTTGCTCAGTTAATTGCAAGTTTGAGTTCCCATTTTTGAAGGAGGTTATTTTGATGGATTGTCCAAGTATGCAGACTTTCTCTATGGATGAAATAAGAATGCCAAAACTGCAGAAAGTAAAATTGACTGGAGATGAAGATGAAGGCTTTTGGGATGGCAACCTAAACTCAACCATACAACTATGGTTCATGCAAAAGGTATGTATTAATTCAAAAGATCTCCTTAGGTTTTTTCTTCTTTTAAGTTCTATATATCTCTTTTTTCCTTTATCACACAAATCTTCATTTAGAGTCTTCAAAATAACAAGAACAACTAGAAAGGTATGTATAAACGCTTAATAAATCATGATTTTGAAGAGGAAATTTTTTGCTACAATTTTTCCTTTCACCTTCAGTATTGTGTTGTTGTTATGTCTACAAAGTCAAGGTGATTTTGAAAATTGAGATCAAAGAAATTGTGGCTCATGTCCTTTCCAAGTGAAATTTGATGGTGAGTTGGTCTTATGTTTCCATCATCTCTACACTTGTTTGATAAAGGTACATCTCTTGTAAACATGCATGGAGGTATACTGAGGCTGCATGCTTAGTTCCTTGCAGGTCTGAATGATGTACGCATAAGTTGGATGTGAAAAATTGTCACATTGCTTCGTGCCCAAGATGTTACCTCACTAACTAAAATTGATCCCTTTTTTCTAAAAAAAAAAAAAGAGAGAGAGAGATAAATCTTTTATATTTCGTGAACTCATGTGCAATTTGTATTATGTAATATTAAATTCATGCAAATCCTTTAAATTCATGTGTTGTTTTATAGTGTATTAAAGAGAGATATCTTTCAAGAGAACAAATGTTGCTTTCTTATATATACTCGTATGATAAAAAGTAAATTTCTTATATATGTAA